GGCAAAGTTATTTGACTGAAAGAGGTGTGAGATATGTTGCTTTTCCTAAAGATTTGAGTATTCGTTGGAATAGTACTTATAAATTACTTAAAGTTGTTCTTAGATATAAAGAACATTTTCCTGCTTTTTTAAAAGAACATGATAACTATATTATAAACGCGGCTGAGATCGACACTTGCGAAAAAATTTGTAATGTTTTGATATATTTTTTTAATGCTACTGAAACTTTTAGTCATGTTTATAAACCTACCGCAAACCAATTTATTCCACAAGCTGTTAATCTCGCCGATGCTTTTAAAGAATTTCAAAATGCCGTTTTCGTTCATTATTTTTGTGATCATATGAAGGAAAAGTTTTTAAAATATAATGCGCATATTCCCCATATTTATGGTATTGCATTTATTCTCGATCCTCGTTATAGACTTGCTAATTTGGAAGATTGTTTCAACTTCTATTATCTTGCGTTTTTCGGTGAATTTCCAATGTATGAGGATAACCCCATAGATCCGAAAACGGAATACAACGAGGTTAGTACTTTATTTTATGCCTTATTTAATGAATTTCGTGCACAATATAGCAACGCTCCCCCTCCCCCGTCACGAACATCTTCATCTAAAGGAAAATCGATTTTTAAATCTGCATTTGGCAATCTTATGAAAAAAACTAAAACAACTCACGTCATTGAACAAAGCGCATTGAATGAGATTACTTTTGTATTTAACATATGAAGTTGATTTTGAAGAAAATGATGACTTTGACGTTCTAGACTGGTGGAAGTCAAAAGAAAGAACGTTCCCGATTTTAGCACGGATGGCTAAGCAAGTACTATCAATGCCGGTTTCAACAGTTGCTGTGGAACAAGAATTTAGTTCGGGCGGCAACGTCCTAACGGCATCTAGATCGAGATTGAGCGCGGAGTCTCTTGAGACGCTTATATGCTACCACGATTGGTTGAAGGCCGCACGTAGAACTCAAGAATTGAGCATCACCCCCTCCCAAGATTTTATGGATGACTCAACAACCGATGGTGGCTCTACCTATGCCGGAGATTCCGATTGATTAGTATTTTAGAATTTATTACAAAATGTATTTTATAGCACTTGTCAAATTTATTTATACTTGTACTTCATATTTCAAAATTGTAAACTTGTACTTCATATTTCAAAATTGTAAATTTGTAGTTGTACTTCAAATTAATTTGTAAACTTGTACTTCATATTTCAAATAAATATGTGTTCACTTTTTCATATGTAGCACTTCTCAAATTAATTAATTGGTTACAATCTAACGACTTAAAATTATTTTTCTAAAATATAAAGCCGGTTTTTAAATTAAAAATACATTTACAATATGTAATTTGTTTAAATACTTATACACCTATTTTGTAACATTTGTAAATTATAAATCAAACCACTTTTCTAAGTACAAATAGTTTTAATTTTACTTAATTCATTAAATTAATTAATTTATTTTACAATATGTGTATAACTTAAAAAAAAATTATTCAAACCTCCCAAACGGCTATATAGCCGTTGGGGCTATGGGTGGGGGGCAGGGGGGTCCCGGGGGTGGTGGTGTGGGGAGTGGGGTTCAAAAACATCTATAAATACATCTATTTTCTAACATTTTTCTACATCTCTTCTCCAATTCTTCTCAAACTCTTCTCCATCTTCATCTTCTCTTATTATCCTACATTCCTACTTATACATATACCATTTTAAATATGGAAAGTACATCTTCCCTTATGCAAAACAATTTTGACAAGTGGAAGGACCCGAAGACCGGTCTGTGGTGGGCAACTTGCAGGTGGTGCAAGAAAGAGTGTTGCTTGGGGCGTTCATACGGATACGGGATGCCAATAAAACATATGAAGTCTTGTGACAAAGGGAAAACAACAACCAACGGTGGCGGAAATCCCAATTGATATTCATTACAAAATGTATTTCGTATTGTTATTTTTTTCTCAATTCTCAAATGTAGTTCTTATTTCAAATAAATGCACTTGAACTTTGTTTTTAATAGCAATTTGTATAATATATAATTAATAAAAATATATATATATAATGGCCCGGCCCGGCCCGGCGGGTGGCCCGACCCGTGACCCGGGCGGGTGGCCCGGCCTGAACCGGAACCGGTCATTGACCGGGCCGGTCCCGGGCCTACCATTATAGGACCCGAGGCCCGACCGGGCCTTGACCCGGCCCGGGTCCATCACTATGGAGAAGAGTTGGAGAAGAGTTGGATAAGAGGTGTAGAAAAATGGTAAAAAATAGATGTATTTATAGATTTTTTTGAACCCCACCCTCACACCACCACCCCCGGGACCCCCTGCCCCCCACCCTAAGCCCCAACGGCTATATAGCCGTTTGGGAGCAATTTTGTATTTCAAAATGTTTTAATTTTTTTTGAAAATTATACATATTGTAAAAGAAGTTAATTAATTTAATGAATTAAGTAAAACTATTTTTACTTATAAAAGTGATTTGATTTATAATTTACAAATATTACAAAATAGGTGTATAAGTATTTAAACAATTTACATATTGAAGTTGTAACTTGTAAGTTTGTAACCAATTAATTAATTTACATATTAATACTCCCTCCGTTCCTAAAAATTCTTCCCGGTTTGAATTGGCACGCCTATTAAGAAAGTGGAATAAAGTGGAAATGTATGGTTGTGGTTGTGTGAGAAAAAGGTAAAATGAATGTGAGCCACACAAATTGTCCAAAAAGGGAAAGTGGGAAGAATTTTTGGGAACGGCCCAAAAAGGAAAGTGGGAAGTATTTTTGGGAACGGAGGGAGTATTATTTTGAATTGATTACAAATTTACAAATTAATACAAATTTTATGAGAATTATTGAAATATGAAGTACAAGTTTACAAATTAATTTTATTGAATTGATTATTGAATACATTTTTTTGAGAATTATTGAATTGATGCACACAATAATATAAAATAATTGAAGTATATTTATTTCAAATAAGAAGTACAATTGAGAATTAGGATGCATTTAAAAAATGTAATACATTTTGTAATAAAAAATCAACCGGAATCTCCGCCTTCGGTGGTTGTTTCCTCAATAAAGTGGCGGGTGGGAGCGATGGTCATTTCTTGAGTTCTTCGTTTGGCCTCCAACCAATCGTGAAAGCAAACTAGCGTCTCAAGAGAGCTCGGACTCAACCACGTTCTATAATCAGTTAGGACATTGCCGGCCGCACTAAATTCTTGTTCCACGGCAACTGTTGATATCTTCATTGCTAGCACTTGCTTAGCCATCTTTGATAAAACCGGGAACGTTCTTTCATTTTCCTTCCACCACTTAAGAACGTCAAAGTCATCCCCAACTTCATAATCAACATTCAATGTTGATCATCATAGGAGAAATTACCAAAGGGTTGAGAATTTGCAAACATCGATATTTGTGTTTGCTTCCCCTTGCCCATGTCTATTTTCGCATACTCCACAAGATGGGTGGACTTAAGATGCCTTGTGAGACTCCCGTATCCGCCAAAAGTTCCCAAACTATACTCTTTGCCGCAATGATTGCAACTTGCGTACCATTTTTCGGTATTTTTGTCTTTCCTTTTTATAAAATTGTTTTCAATAATAGGAGATTTAGATTTCTTACCAGTTTGGGTTGAACCATCCTCGTCCTCCAAGTCTTGTCATATTAATATTACAAATTTAACAATTAACTACTTTAGCTAGTTTTTAAAATGACAAATGTAAAAATTTACTAGTTCTTTTTACCTTAATGAGAAATGTATGCTTTAACTAATATTAATATGACAAATGTAAAAATTTACTACCTTTTTTACTTTAATGAAAAATGTAGCAAGTAACTAATATTAATATGAGAAATGTAGTTTAACTAATATTATTATGACAAATGTAAAAATCAACTAGTTTTTTTTTTTAACTTTAATGAGCAATGTATCAATTAACTAATATTAATATGACAAATGAAACAATTAAGTACTTTAACTAATATTAATATGACAAATGTAAAAATATACTACTTTAACTATTTTTTTTCTTTAAAGAGAAATGTAGAAAAATGTAACAATTAACTAATTTAATAGATAAATGAGAAGTCTAACAATTAACTAGTTTTATAAAATGTATAAATGTGTATAAGTCTATAGTTTATATAACTTGTAAATGTATTATAAGTAATATATAATATAATGTTTATAGTATATAATATATAAGTATATTACTATAAGATGAGTAATACACTTATACTTAATACTTTAATATATATATATATATAAAAGTATATATTAACTAAATGTAATATGTAAATATAAGTAAATAACAATAGTATGGATAATAACTAAATATCAAGTAAATATGAATGTGTATAGTATATAATTATATATAGTATATATAATGTGTAAAGAAATATAATATGAATGTGTATAAGTATATATTTATAAGTAGATATAATAATTATATAAATTATATATATGTAGAAAGAATTTGGAGAAGATGAAGAATGAAGATGATTGAATATGAGAGATTGAGAGTAGAGAATTAGAGAGTAGGAAGAGTTGTAGAAGAAGAGGTGTAAAAAATATATAGAAAATAGGAGTATAAATAGGTTTTTTTGTATACCCCACCTCCACCCCCACCCCACCCCCCACCCCCCTAACCCCCCCTCCTATGCTCCCAACGGCTATAGAGCCGTTTGGGAGCTCTCCCAACGGCTAGAAGCCCTTTACAAATCAAAAAAAAATTAAAATTGACCGTTGGAGGCCCGAACCGGGCCCGGCCGGGCAGGTTCACTAAACTGGAGGCCCGGGCCCGGACCGCTATACCACCGGGCCGGGTGGCACGAACCGGGCTCAAACCGGTTCACCAGGCCGGTCCGGGCCCACACAGTAGCGGGCCGGTTGGCCCGGCCCAAGTCCATCCCTAAGCTGGTCGCTTGCATTATTGAGACATCAACAAAGAATTATCTGGCCGTATTGGGCTGTAGTGTTGAACTGTTGATGATGTCAAAAGCAAAGTTAATACTTAATAGAAAACTGGGAAACACACCGCTTAACAAAACACTACAAAAGAAGATACTAGAAAGTTAATCACATAGAATTGATGACACTCGGAATGTCGAATGTATCCAACAACAAAAATTGGGAAGTCACTGGCATAAGATTATAAAACCACCAGTCGATGAAAATATTACTTTTTGCAGTACCCCTGTGTAAGAACCATAAAAACTGCACACGCACAGTTAATATGGTTGAAATCCAGAAGAGGTACTAATTGGATAAATGTTCTCTACCCGACTTATTTTCTCATTAAAACAAAACATTCACCACCCAAACATTCCCCTAACACCCTACCGCAATGAAGTCACCGCCAATCATGGCTTGAGAGCAAGAGCCAACCCAATTTTAGCACTCTTCTCGATTGCCCGAGTGTCCACTTCACCTGAAATAGTGAAAAGTGACTTTGGACGAAACGCGTGTTGAATAAGAGCGTGCACCTTGCCATTGTTGTTAACCTTAGCCTTAACTGTGGTCAATGGATCCAATGCATGTTGTGTCCCAATGGTGAGAGAATTTTCATTGCTCGAGAAAATGTGAACCAACTCTGCGCCAACGGTTGTGTTTGTCAACGGGCGTACCGTGTGGTAGTAAGAAGCAGTAAGCTTGTCGCCCTTGTCATTCCTGCAATCCAGAAAATGGTTAATAATTACTAAGAAAATGTTTGTTTATGACACTTGGAACCCAGAAAATTTCAAGGAAAAGAAAAAATGAATGAAAATAAAGGTGAAAGTCATAATATGGAAATAAAACTTCAGGAAACACAAACAGAAAATAGGACTTGTTCAGCTTTAAAAGATGTTTTTAGTAGTTCTATTCTTTTCAAAAGGGGGATTAATCTTAAATATCAGGATAAAATAAGGATGTTTCTACTTAGCACATGACTTGTGTTTTAAGCATATTGAAGTACTTTCTTAAATAAAAAATTAGTCTGACTTTGAAGCTAGTGGGTTATGAGCAATGTTGGGGGCAAATGAAGTTCCTTCAGTTTAGAGTTTTTGGAAGTTCAATGACACATCATAAAAAATTAAACCTTAGCTTCTTGGATTTATGTCAAACTCAAAAAAGTTAGCATGAAACTACATGAGTCCTAATACCATCATGGAATTTAGAACTAGGGATACTACTTAAGAATTACTCAATTACATGTACGATTGACTAGTTTTGTCACAGACTTGAATCCTTGGATTTCTTTATTAAGCCTTCTAGTTACAAGTTCACACTCAATTTTTCACATATTTCTATTTTATGCAGACTAAGAGCATGAAATATCTAAAAAGTTTTAACCATATTTAATTTTCCCTATTATTTCTGATGGTGCAACAAAACATTAATGAAACAATTTGCCTTAGTTTTTCCTCTTGTCCTACCATTTTCCACTTTAGGGGATAATCTTCGAGAGTCATAGTTGTCAATTGTCATGGCGCATGGCGACATCAATGGTGCCAAGGCATTTTACCATGGGGCATGGCGACATCAATGGTGCCAAGGCATTTTTCCATGGGGCATGGCGACATCAATGGTGCCAAGGCATTTTTCCATGGCGCATGGCGACATCAATGGTGCCAAGGCATTTTCCATGGCAATGGCGCAATCATGGCATCGCCACATGACAACAAAAAAACTAGAAGCATGAATTATAGACACTAATTCTATCGCCCAACCACCAAAACATGATAATAAATAAGGTTGAATACCAACATTCTAACCAAAACATGTGCAGTTAAAATAGTTTTAAGTAGTTGCACCAAAAAACATAATATTCAAAAAAAAAAGTTTCATGTTTTTCAAAAGTTGAACACGATGTTTCAGACTTTAAGTACCTTAACCATTATACCTATTTCAAATTATCAATAAACATCTGATGTAAAGGTTAAGCTCTTCAACTGTTGCTTTGGTTCACTTTGAACACTCAAAAATCCTTTTGCTCCTTTTATGATAACATTTGGATATTTTCTTATTCTTCTTTAATGAAGTTATAGTTTTCTATTTGAAGAGGAAGCATAAACAGATTGTTTACTAGTTTTATAAAAACAGGAATCATATATTCTCATACAGTTTTGTATTAAATGAAGTTTTTCTTCATTAATATCAAAGAGGAATGTCATACTTTTTGTTAATATAATGGGCTAACTTATTGATTTTTTATTAGGATTTTATTAACATTATGGCCTGTCAGATTATTTAAGTATTTATCAGGTCCAAAAGCCCACAAATCACAAAGTTAACTGGTTCAGATTTGTTTAATATTATGGTGCAATTGCCATGGCAATGGAGATGGCGTAAATATGATGCCACCATGTGTATGGTCGTCGCCATGAGGACTTTTAATGGCGATGGAGCATTTCTCACCATCAACAACTATGTCGAGAGTAAAGCATTGATAAAGGTAAAGAACTTCATACCGTTTACGCGAACTATGGTTTAGGTATAAAAGTTTTGTAAAAAATGAGATACTAGTACGGAAGTATTTAAATTGATAATATAAGTTTGGGAAAACATCAAATAGACCCTCATACTCTAGTCAATATGTCAATTGAATCCCTGTAATTAAAAAACATTCAATTAAGTATACAAACTAATGAAAAAACATCGATTAACATTTTCTATCGGTTACTATCCGGTTGCCTGTAATTATTTCAGATTTTCGCTGAGTTGGCTTTATGTTTTACTTTTCTCTTTTGTTCCTCATTCTTTTTTGTATCCCACCTATCCCTTTCCCGTCTGTCATCCTTCTTCTTGGATGGGTCTCCAAAGTCAAAGAAAGAAGATGCCTCGCAACATTCAGCAGTAGCGAAGCACCTCCAAATACAAGAAGAAAAGACTATGAAGAACCAATCTATGTGCCTGCACTTTCTTATATTCTGCCCTGGAAAGACGTAAGGACAAGGACGAAATGCCTAAGGGCCGTAAGGGAGTGGACATTAGACAGGGGCTTCTAATGCTTATCCATAGTCAACTGACTGACACTCCGATCCGACGGTGTGATTCACAGAATGGGCGCTTGTTGATTGCCAAGTCAGTTAGTGGGATTAAAACGCTGGCTGGAGCTTGAGATCCATCTCCGCCTCCAACCGCCGGAGCTTGAGATCAATCTCGTCGTCCTCCCCGCCAGAGCACGACCCCGGAAGTCAATCCCAGGGCTCTGTGACTGAAGAAACTCGTGATTCCAGTACATAGCAGTGCGCTAGTGCCCCTCTATCTTTACCCATTTAAGCTTTTGAATCTAATGCCGGCGGGATGATTCTGCATAAGAGGAAGTCTGCTGCTGTGCTGGGTAGCTTTTATAAAATAACGGATAGACACATACAGTACACGTATAGATGAGTATGGGTATTGTTGTGGATATGGCACCACGATGAAGTATCGTTGCACCGTAAGGAGCATCAACTGCAGCATTCGGGAGAACAAGACATCCTGTGCTAATGGTATGAACGTGTGAAGCAGGTTAGAAAAGGGGTAGGGCTTTGAAGAAGGAAAACGCGAAGAAATCAAAGAAATTGACATCCTACTTGACACATTAAACACAAATCACTTTCCATGGAAAATTATTTCTTTTTCCATAAAATGAGAGAATTCAACTCCATGGGAGAGATGTGAGCTTTGGATTCGAAGGAAAGTTAGATTAAAATGTTTGACGGAGAGAACTCAGTTCTATGGGTGAGACTGGGGACCTGAAATTTACTTCTTGCAGAGTAGTTACAGCGCCGACTAGGCGTCCAGTGGCTGAGGAAGGGTCACCATGAGCCATTGCCTTTCCAGAAGAAGAACAGGCGGCCGCGGCATCCTTCAGGCATCATCCAGTCATCGGTTTGGTGAGAAGGCATTCGCCAGAGTATAACTAACAGATTAATTGTAGATCAATTTTTTTGCAGTCCAAACTGCAGGCTGAGAATTAGATTTTAGAAACAAAACTTTAGGGCAACTAATTTAGTTAGGACTTTAAATAAAGCCCAAGTCTTACTTGAGCATTCCTAAACTCAATCGCTGAACTATGCTCTGAACTTCTGAAGGCCATACCAGGCGATGTGCAACTAGACGCGTAATTGTTTCCTAGGCGGGCGCCTTGTAACCTAGGGGATATGGCGGTCGGCTGGCGCCGTGACACGCCTTACCGCTGAGACAACCATGCTTTCTTGTAAGAAATCAAGAAAATTGATTTCTAGGCAAATCTCCAAACGAACTAAAAAGGAAATACATGGAATTTTGTAGGATGTAAACTGCACCAGGGTAAAAAAATAGAAGGACATGGTTTGTAAAAGAAGGAAGAGCATTATTATTACAAAACTAAGACAAAGCACCACACATGATACTCACAATGTTAAAGAAGTTATCAAGTCCGAGGTAGAGAAACTCAATCCAGCGTTGATTTTTTCAAAATTCCCACTAGCTGTGTCAAATGACACATCAGTCCCAACAGCAAGGTTATTGGTCCCAGCAACACCGGAGAAATTGACAAGTGGACTAGCAGTTAGCCCAACGCTTGTATTAATTCCAGCATACTCATGCAAGTACTGAAGCTCAACCTGTTAGCAATTACAATAAACTAATAATGAGTCTTAATTTGACCATCAGCAGCATAAATGAAACAACATAGTAAAATTTTGTTTAATTTAAAGAAGAAATAGAGAACTAGAGAAGAGATACGAAAAGTAACAAATAGATAGAACTACAAAAGAAATTAGATGCTACTTCCATCCTGCTCTAAGGTTCCCATTAAAAAGGGCAACTTTTTTAGGCAACAGTTTGGGTGTGTATATAATAGAATGGCACTCATATTTTTATCTTATGTTTCACCTTAACAAAACAAAGGCTAAGATAACTTTGAGTTCTCCAACAAATGCGCAAAAGACTTACCTTGCCAGATTTCTGATCAGGAGCAATGAAACTAAAGATTGTCTTCAGCCCTGGTGCTGGTTCATCAACGGTTAAGGTTGTGTATAGCTGCATGTCACCATCCAATGGTTCATTAATTTGAGATTTTACTTTTACCAACAACGCACCAAATAAACATGCTATCTAAAGCAACAGAGGAAGGGCCATTGCTTGGATACAAAAGGGGACTGCAAATGAAGACTTACTTTGGAATTGGTGTCCACTTTAATGTCTGTTGTGATGTTTTTATTCTTCAACTGGGTGTTGACATCAGCAATAAGTACCTCGCCTTTCTTAACACCAGATGAAGTAATGGCCTGAAAAGTGAAAACATAAAGAAATGTACAGTAATATTGACAATTAAGAAGCAAAAAAAACTTGTAAAACCATTTATAAATGAAAAGATGAAGGGTCTATATGGTTATGGAGAAGAGCAGAGGGGGGGATGTAGTTAAATATAGCCTCCCCACCAAACTGCACCTAAGTGGAGGGATAGTGAATGAAGGGGAGGGACAACAGACAACTTAAACAGATCTTCACCCAATCTTTTTAATCAAATGATAGGAGGGGGCATTTTCTCTTCCACCTTCTCTGCTCCTCTACAAAAATTCCGAACCAAACATACCCTAAGAGTATTTGTTGAGCAAAAAATTGGCTTGCTTGAATCTATATAGGTGTTCAGTAATTATCATGGAACATACACTATCTAGATTAACGAGCCTCTTGAAGAAAATAACAATGGCAGTAGCTCCTAATATTGATCTCTAATTCCTCAATGTTAACCAACCTATTTCCATGTTCAGCCAACAACCCCGTCAGAGAGCACTCATAAAGTACATTACTTGACTACTTAATAAGGTAACCCACAATTTTGCAACAAGTCACCATCATTTAACAAAACGTCCCAAGATTCACTAATATACACGGTAATAGCTATAGATAGTTAGATACTAACCACGCCGTTGGAGGTGTACGTAGTGACTGTAAACTTGTGGTCAGCGACATAGTCTCTGTAGAGAAGATCTGAACGGGAAACGAAGATTCAATTCCGATTGGGTCCGTACACCGATATGAAAACGTTTAAAGGATTAGATAATGCGCAGATGTTGGATATGCAAAAGAATAACAATAACAATTACAAAAAATAATGTAAATATCTATTACTAGAGAAACTGACCTCTGGCTTTTTTGCCGATGTCAGAGTACAGACCGGGACCCTTCACCATCGCTGCTTCTGGTAATTGCACCGGAGCTGTAGAGAGAAAATGGCAACAGCGAAGCACAATCTTTCAATCGCGAAGGTTCCCACAGTGTGAGCGGTGCAGCGAGGAAATTATAAGCTACCAAGTACCAACCCTAATTTTCCATTTTTAAGGCTTATATGTACCTTAAAAAAAGTTTAGATGCAATTATTTACTCCCTCCCTTCTCTAATAAAGGAGAGTATAGCATTTGACACAAGATTTAGGAAAAAATTAATAAGGGTAAAATAAAAGGTGTTGTGGGTTGTGTGTAAAGGAAAAAGTTTAAAAAAGAACGAGGGTATATAGGTATATTTATTGTAAAAAAAATTCTAAAAATGGAAAGAAAGACATGTATTAGAGAACATCCCAAAATAGAAAGAGAGACATGTATTAGATAACAGAGGGAGTATTTTTTAAGGATTATTATAGAAAAACTCAATAGTCAATAGTGGTCCAATTAAATAAAAAATAATTACATATTCTTGCAATTTTTTCCTGAAATAATGTTGAAAATAATATTTACGTAAATAGAGTCAAGTTAAAAGTATTTACGGATATGCTACTGGATTTGAGTCACTTGACAATGGTTCGGTAAAGTCGCCAAACGGTGACTTACAGAGTATAACTTTATAAGTCGTCAATCTGAATGGCGAATTTGCAACTGCAAACCAACACAATAACACACCAGGCATCCCAACATTCAAACATGCAATAACACTTGTCGTAACAAGATCACAAATATATCCATCAAACATGTTCACAAATAAGAAAACATATCTGAGCTATAGAGAATGGTATAGTTGTTTTTGAAACGTATAGTTGTGGTTGAGTAAAAAAATGTAACAATATAAGTGAATGTTAGCCACTCAAAACTTTCCAAAAGGAAATGAGAAGAATTTTTTGGAAAATTGCATAAAGGCAACCGAGAAGAATTTTAAGGGACGCAGAGAGCATAATCAGTTTTAAGAAGCGGATCCAAACACCCCTTATTCAAAAAATAGATTTTTTTTACATATTACAAAAATATCCTGCTATACACCTATACCATGCTCAAGGAATCAAGGTACAACCGGTTATTCCATATAATTTGCGGTTGAGAGTGTGGTAATGTATTTTTCGAAGGTTTAGGCTAACCGCATTACATAAAGTCAAAAAGCTAATTGGAAGCTATTGACTCTCCATGAGTGCTGCAATCAAAGATTAAATCCATAGATGAAGGCCTGGTAATGGGATACATAGGACCTTTGGTGCTAGCGATTCACTCGCTATTCACTTAAAAAAGTAAATGCCAAAAATGGGTGCATGGACTAGATGTGAGTATGTGTGTAAACGAGCCGAGCCAAGCCGAACATGGGTAGACTTGAGCTTGATCTTGATAAGAATTCACGAGCTCAAGCTCGATCTCGAGCTTGGACGAGTTCAATAATTCGGGCTTGAACTCGAGCCGAGCTCGGCTCGAGCTCAATTCGATCTTGGTTCGAGCTTGGGTCAAGTTTGACTAATTAATTTTTATAGGTTTGAATTCGAATAAGATGCTCGAACTCGAGCTAGAAAAATATAATATGTGTACTTATTCGTTCTCATTCATAGTTTATCTCTCCTTCACTGACACTTTTATTCTTTATTTTACCGTCAATAAATATTACAGGTACATATTATAATTATTACAAATTATGCTTATAATAATACTATGTACATGTTATTATTATTTTTAATTATTACTATTATAATATATCTCGTGAAAAGTATTGAAAATGAAATAGTCCCAAATTAGATACATATTCCAAAAAAGTACATATATAATTATGACATATTACACATAATTATATATAAAATATGACACAAAGGCTCACGAACCGGCTCGCGAGCCACGGGCCTAAAATAAATAGGCTTGAATTGAGCTTGTTAACCATTCGAGCCGAGCCGAGCCGAACTCGGGTCGAGCTTAATATGACCGAACTCGAGCCGACCTTTCCTAAGTGATACACGAGCAGCTTGCGGGCGGCTTGGCTCATTTACACCCTAGATGTGACGCACATAGAAGAAATGACCAACATGAGATCGATCCATGTGAAATTATTATTTTTCTTTAAAGTATTATAATTTTTTTATACTCTAATTTGTACACTACAAGAAAAGTGCACATAGACCCCTCACATAGACCAATTTTTTTTTGCAATGGCCGCATAACTGTCGTTAAAAACACCATTAACCACACTTTTTTTATTTACCACATACAAAACTGTGGTAAAAGGTCAGAGACGACAGTTTTTAACCGTGGACAATGTTTTTACCATAGCTGTTGTGGCGACGCTTGCAAAACTGTCGTAAATGTTCCTCCTTATGTTTTTACGACAGTTTTACGTGGTAAAAACATTGCCATGGTTAAAAATTGTCGTCTCTAAGCTTTTACGACATTTGTGTGTGTGGTAAATAAAAAATGTGTGGTTAATGGTGTTTTTAATGACAGTTATGCTGCCATCGCAAAAAAATTTGTGATCCATGTGCAGTCTATGTGCACTTTTCTTGTAGTGGTATAAAAATATATTGAATATGTAAAACTAAAAAAATGAGAAGTTTCATCTATTGGAGATTTGTAGATCTAACAATTTTCTCAAATCAATTCAATTAGTGTTGAAATTAAGATTTCATTGTTAAAATATTTTTTTACATCTCTCAATTATTAATTTTCCAAAATATATCTCATGGTAAAAAATTCTACTCCAAATTTATTTATTTTTATATCGAAATATTTGATATTTTAAACCATAATTATTTGTAAAAATAGAATCTGGGAAAAAATTATGTACAATAATAATAAAAGTAAGGATTTAACAAAAAAGAATGTGTTGAGTGAATATATTGACGGTGCTGGATTTCATGGAAAAATTGGATTAACTGACTGAATACGTATAAACTTGTGTGTGATTAGAGATTTAGAAAAAATTCCATTAATATTACTCTTAGGAAAGTGGTGGACACAAATGTGACTTGGTAACTCTGAGTGACTATAATTGTAAATAAAGTTACTATGATAAAGTGACTACGATAGAAACATTGAACACAATTATAGTCACTAAAAGTTACTAAGTCACATTTTTGTCCATGACATTTTTAGTAATATTTTAGGAAAAAACTCTTATGTTTATTGCCTAGTTGGGTTGCGATTAAACAACTACTCCCTTCGTATTTATATGTTTCCTACATTTAGTTTTGGCACAATATTTTAGGATAGAATAGTAAGAGTAGTGAACAATGTAGAAAAAGAAGAGAGAGCGTGTAAAAGTATGAAAGACAATATAAAAAGTAGATTAAGGGAGTGTTTGGATCTGATTCTTAAAACTGCTTCTATTCCTCCAGGGAGCAGAATCAGAAGTTGGAGTGTTTGGGTAAAAGTGCAGAATTGATCCTGGTGTCTAATTTACTCCTAGAATCAGTTTTTGGGATATTAATTTGGATGATCACTTAACTTTGAGGGAGCAAGACCGGTCCTGTCGATTTTGGGGCCTATGGGCGAGATATTATCTTGGGCCTATGTTCAAGACAAAAAGTAATCTCTAAATATCGATCAACGAAACATGACCCACCATTGGTTTATTCTCTTCACCTAAATCACATTTATCTGGCTTAATTTCAATGTTTGCAGCTTCTACACCTATATCATTATTTCCAAGCATGTTATGATTTTCATTCGCAAAAGAATTTAGCGGCGATTAAACTTGAGAAGAATTTTTTGGGGTTCAGTTTCTTAACAAAAACAAAATTTTCTATTGCCCCCTTCTTACTTAGGTTGTCTTTTCTAATCTTTGTCTCTTTTTCTCTTTTTCCTAACCAGATACATCCATTTTATCAACCACATTCACAATAGTAAAACGAAATAAGTTAAAGGACTTCAATTTCAAAAGTGCACAATATAACACAAATATGAATTTACGAAGACACTAAAAAATGCATCATATAAATCATTAATCATGCATAATTCATAAATCAAAAGAACATTTGGTGTATTTATTTTTCATAGCTAATAGATTGAGAATAATTTACTAGCCGTTGTCGGATTGTTTGAAGTCTTGATAGAAGAAGGTGTTCTAGTCGCCGGGCGCTGTTTGGGCTCCTCACCGCTGACCGCTTTGGCTAATGGCAATTTGCAGGCTTGCGGCGCTCTCTAATGTCTACTCTTGTGCGAGACGGTCAATACCTTAATAAACCTTAGTCCATTACTTCCTTAGATAATTGAGTGTAATTGGAACTTGGAAACCACCGTCCAAAGAAGTAATTAGGTTAGTGGGATGTGGTGTTTTATGAATTGGGAGTTTGGGAGACACACGGGCTATACAAAAAGTTAAAAACAAATTTTTACGGCCTATTTTTCCATTCTATTTTTTTTGGCCCTAGGGCGGTCGCCCTTGTTGCACCTCCCTAGGACCGGCCCTGTTAGGGAGTTTCAATTTGGTCACTTAATTTTAATTTGATTCATTTCAATCATCTAATTTGAATTCCAGCTACAAACTAATCACCTCCTGCTTGACGGCCTGTTTAGTTGCCGGAAAAGTACATGTAGTGGACATCACAACTAATTAGAAATAAACATGGAGTATTTCTCTCTTCTATACACGCACCTCATTTAATCGTAGCCAGCCATGGTCCTACATGTTAATTCATCTATCTCTAACCCTAGCTTTTCTATCTCCTTCTGTCACAATACTTGGATTTGGAGAAGGTAGAACATCACTCATGCCTTTTTTCTCCAGTAGTTTGGAAATAGGTGCGTGATAGAATTGGTATCATGTCAGAGAAGGAGATGAAGTACCGATAACTCTAAGTGATCGAACTATTATACGTAGTATTAATCTAATCTTCAAATACAAAAACATATAAAGATATGTATTCCTAGTGCAAGTTGTAGCTCCGGCAGTCCGGCGTATGAATACTAAGGAAGAAAGAATTAGAGCCGACTCTCGTAGTCTCATTCCTTTATTTTGCAGCGAGACAACAAGTCCTTTTTTATGACAAGAATAATACTACATACTACTCCGTATAATGTTAAATTAGAACTAATATAGCAAAAGTTCCTCCTTTCAAAATAAATATAACAAAAGTTTCTGTCTTTGGATATTCTGCCTTTCTTTTTACCAAAAACCAAATCATAAACCCTTTCATTCTCACATATT